CCACACATGGACTCGCCGAGTCGCTCTTTCCCAATTTACTCTTTTAGCCCTTCAACTCTACTCTTGATATTTCGGGATGTTACATTAAGAATTTTAATTTGACCTTGTAAGTATCCAAACACGTTAGAAACACATGAAAACGCCCCGAACTAGTAATTAGAAAAATTTAAGTTTCGACCATATCGGGTTACGACAACTTAATCCGGTGCGACCAAAAGCCTCGGTTAACGTCAGTATCAGGTAGAATTCTACCGTGTCTCAAATCCAAATCATATTTAAAGTTGTTTAAGCCTCATTTGAAGCTTTTTCACCCTCTCTCTAACCTATCTCCTCAAATCCAACTTCTTGATCCAAAATCACTCATTTCAAGCTTCAAATCACCAAGGTAACTATCCTAGCTCCTAATATAATATCTTTAGCCTTCAATTTCGTGTTCAAATCATGGAATAGGACCATAAACATGTGTTTACAGCCTTGGAATAGCCTTAGGCCGTGATCACATGCAAATGGGGGTTTTTGAGCCTTAAAACCCTTCCAAACCACCATTAGAGCTTAGATATGACTTAAGGACTTATTGGATTGGACTTAGAACACCTTAAAGTCAACATTTGGGGAGTAAACATGATTTTAATGCCCAAGAACATGCTTGGACCATAAAATCCATATCATGGGTAGTAAACTCCTTTTTAGGTGTTAAAATTCCATTTACATACCTCCTAAGCCTTGAACTAATAACTAGAAGCAACCACAAACGAAATAGAAGCCTTAAACATTATGAAAACAACTCCCTTAGGAGTTCACGGCCATAAACCCCCCAAGAATGGGTTCCTGGGTCGTAAACTCGTATAAATGGGTTAAATAGTGCCCTAAGTTCCCCTTGGCTTGTAAAAAAATGAGTTGAATCATATGTGATTGACTTAAGACCACCAAAGCATCAAATGAAGGTGTGTGGGGAAGCTTACAGCCATAAACTCTTAGTTTACTGCTGTAAACTCCTCAAATAGTCCTTAGAATGTCCAAACTACCTTCCAATGCCCTAGAATCAAAACTAGCATCACCCCTTAAATGTTATAAGGCCATTTAGCACTCTAGAACACCCCACCATGAGTTTACAGCCGTAAACTCATGGGGAGTGGGTCATTAGGGCTGTGAACTCTCTTGGGAGTTTACTCTTAAAGAGTAAACTCCATATCCAAACCATATATGTCCATAGATGTCACCCGGGTCACTCCAAACACTTGAAATGAAGTGTTTTCGCGACTAGAAGTGTATATCCTCAACTAATTAGTGATTGAAAATCTAATTATATACATTTGTGTATTATTTAATATTACATAGGAACCTCGCACGTTTTCAAGCCTCAATTCGACGTTTAGCATCCTAGTCGACACATTCCTCGTCCGGTGAGTTCATACCCCTACCCCTTTTCAATGTTTTTCAATGTTTTCAGGGGGGGGGGGGGGGGGATACAAGAAAAAGTACAAGAATATCTTGTGCTTAAACTTATTATTTCAATTGAAATGTTTCATATTCCACTTGCTTTTAACAACTGAAACCGCACTAACCAATTGTTTAACTTGCAGAATCAGTTTACAAATCGATTTCATATCTTATTATGTAATGTTATAATATATATTTCACAAATGATTTGTTCCTTGACATTATTGTTAAAAGAAGTAGATTAGTACATTTGTTTTGTCCTCGGTAACGCTCCACAGAGATACGCGAGTTGAGGATCGTATTTGTAAATAGAATTTTAACAGTATTTTTCTACATTATTACTTGTAGATTGGTTATTCCTATAAATTGGAGACACGTCCTCGGAGAACACTCCACAGGGATACGCGAGTGGAGGACCGCCTTTGTAATCAAAATCTCTTAGATAGGGAGCGTGACTTGAGTGTATAAATCTATATGGGGCTGGCTACCCCGCTCCTGGCTGCTAGCTACAACCGAACCAAAAGGTTCAAGGGTGCCGAAAGTCATAAAATGATTTGGACTACTTATTGCCATATTTAGTCTATCGTATGGTTATGGAACTCGCAATTTGGATAACAAAGATTTACTTGTTAGTAATAATGAATATAGTAAATTAATAACCTTTGAAATTAGTTTAGTATGTTGATAGTTTTATATACGTCTTAAAATTAACATACACTTCATAAGGATAATCAGGTTTCCAATATACATCTTTTACATTACATTTCGGATTGGTAACCAACCTTTAGGAAAATATAGGATTTTCCTGGGGTAATAACTATTCATAACCAAAATTGTGTAACGTAACGGAAAACTAAACATTACATTTAAGAAAATATGAGATTTTCTTGGATGACCACTTTTTCAGAAAACTAAAGGAATCTTGTTCATTTTCAGAAAACAAACCATTTATGAACTCACTAGCTTTATGCAGATTTTTAAACTGCTTGTATTCACAGGTTCCTCTTAGACAGGTATTCCGCGTTCTTTTGCAGAAGACGGAGCGTATGGAGTCACGTCTTTCTTTTGTTTAAACTTATGTATCTACGAAACTTGTATTACTTTACTTTTAAATAGATGTAATGAAATCTATTTAATGTAATGTTTTGTGTTTATTTCGCTTACTATGTACATTGGTTATAATATTCAACATGAAGTCACCTCCGCCCCGGAACGTTTCCGCCTTGGTTTCGGGGTGTGACACATATACATTCAATACTCATCTAGGCATTTAATTGATTTAGGTATCGAGATGGATATATTTATTGTCCACTTCATCGTTAACTTGATTTCTTCTGATTAGGCAAGTCAATCTATGCGATTACAATTTGTTCCCTCTTGTGCTTGTTCTTTTACAAATGAGTATTTTAATTGTATTTAACAGCAACACAGTTTGCCTTGATATCATGTGTTCTTTATATGATTTTATGTAGAAAATGGCAATTATGTACCAGTTTAAAATTAGAAAGTAGTAAATCTCGTGAATAAATTTACTTTAAGTTGCCTAGTTTTATTAATTCATTTGGCAAAATTCTGTTGATGTTACGATGTACATATCATTTATATGTAGATCCCTTATACGATATAAAATATCCTAAGGCGATATCATTTAGCTTCATTGTTACGCGAGAGGCGAGCAAATGCGTGCCCTATATTCTCTTTGCGGCCCAATTTAGCCTTCGAAATGAGTCTATCTTTTCTTTTAGTGTGTCATTGACCTTCGAAATATAAGACGTACCTACCGCAGACATATAAGACGTAGCTACCACAAGAACTCTTATCTGTGCTTAATTGTTAAGGTACGCTTCTGACATTTCAATTAGATTTTAAGGCATCGATCTTCTCCTCGTATGTGTTGCGATGCATATGAGAGACAATGATGAATCTTCACTACCTTTTATGTTTTATGTGTTTCAATTAGGGCTTAGTTTTGCTAAAAAAAATTAGGGTTTGGTTTCGCTATAAAAATTGGGATTTTTTGTTGAAAAAACGCAAACATGATAATGTATCTCGTTCTCAACTCTTTCTTGTTGCGTTGTTGAATTAGGGTTTACACATTAAATTGCCTTCGTCACATTTTCCGTATAGTTTTTTTGTTCATCGATTGAACACAATGATTTAAATTAGCTAATTGTCTAGAATAAATCGACAAAGTTGATCCAGAAGAGGATGTGGATCTAGCCATTTCCTTGTAGAATATATATATATATATATATATATATATATATATATATATATATATATATATATATATATATATATATATAATGAATTTAAGTTATCACAGATCCTCCTTCGTATTAATTGCTTAACTATTATGCTATGATACCTCTCTGTTTGATAATAAAGATTCTGCAATCACTAGTATATCCTTTCACATAGTGTGCGGCACATGATCTATCTAAGTATTTGAATGATATTTGAATTTGATTGTAATTATATTGGGAGTGATTTGTGCCTGTATTGTGTTTGATATGGGGTTTTCCTGATTTTAGTAGATATTCTATCATTTTTGAGTCTTGATTTTCAGAGGTGTTGGTTATCATCATCGGTCTACAGTTGCTTTAAATGGAGACAAATTTGAGTGGAGATACAAATACTGGAGATACAAGTACTGAACCAAAGGAATTTGAAAATTTATGTATTCGGTATGTGTTATTTTTTAATTACTATATCTGTTAAGCTTCATTACAAACACTGCTTGTAATTAACTTATTCCTTTGGGTTTGTACTGATCATATCTCTCAATTTATTTTCAAATTGCTACCTTGGACACATATATGAACTAATTGTATGCCACCCTAAAAAGATTCCTTAAAGAATTGTAAAATGGTGCATGGTTACTTTTCATCTCATAAACACTCACAATAGTATATAGCTAGCTTCTCCGGAGCCATGTAGATGAAATGCCACGCACGAGATACCTAAGATGCATGAGGCTACTAAAGGAAAATGCCCAATGTCCATTGTTTAATAAAATACCGGTAAGAGCATCCAAAATGCATAGTTTAATAACCGGTTGATTGATTGAGGTGGAATGCCTATCTGACATTCAATAGATTAAACTCAACCATAGTAGAATGACACTTTGCTGTTCAATGGATATGTACTTCAATGGCCGTTGAAGTGTTCAATGAAAAAATAACATTTTTTTTAATATAAAATTGCTTACCAATTAAATGTTTTTTTTTTTAAATAGAAATAAATTTCATTAAACTTATGAAGTGTTCAATACATTGTAAAAAAATAGTAAAGTTGTTTGAAAAGTGAAATGATGATGTGACAATAAATGAAAACTCTGTGAAGTTCTCTACATTGTCAAAGACTTAAGCCTAGAATATCACTCATCATGATCATTATGGTCTTTTAGTTATCAATGCATGTCATCGGTTGCATACAATATATATGCATATTTCAATATATATATATATATATATATATATATATATATATATATATATATATATATATATATATATATATATATATATATATATATATATAATATGTTATGTGCATATATGCACAAATGTACGCTATATCCTTTGTTCATTTTGATCAACAGATTTAACCTTTTATTTTGTATCGAATTCAATGCCAAATGCAGTCAATACGTTGCTGGGGTTAGGAGAAAAGATTGGAAGAAATGTTGTGCCTTTGACCTGTCTAGTTACTCTCCAGAATCTACTTTTCAAGCAGAAAGGGTGTTTGCTTCACTAATTCTAGAGGACAATGATGCTTTGATTAATACTCCAGAAAATACACAAGTTCCAAACTGTAAGCGACCAAAATTAATATAGTACTCTAGAATTTAAAAACTAGATCTGATCATCTTTTAATTCTTTGATGCTTATATTGTTCCCAGCTTTGATATATTTTGAAGTCAGAAATCCAGAGGGACAAGCTGCCGAGTCAGAAACCCATACAGGTATCATTACCAAATGTATGTATACCTTAATTTGATAGAATTCTTCAGAAGGAAAATGTTGTCATCCTTGTTCCGGATGTGAAATTTGGGATGATGCTTTGATCTTTGTGAGGTCTATCAGTCCTCCGAAGCTTTTTAATTCAGAAAATATGTTAGTTTTTGCAGGTGAGGTTATTGGTAATGATGCAACCAATATTATCAATGATACACCTTTGGAGTCAGCTTCTGGCAAGGTAACTTATGCCGACTGCCAGATTGAAAAAGTCATCTATGGAGATATGGTGGCTGCAGAAAATGATAAGCCAGAAGATGTGGTAGTTGTTGATCATTCACTAAAAGATATTGTAATGGACGGAGCCTCAAAGTCATCTTCTCGGAAACTGAAGGATGATGTTCAGTACCAAAATGAGAACAGTGTATGTGAAGACATTATAGATGCTGGAAATGACACACATATAGGTGTTGATGTTGATGGGGATAATACTAACAGTGATGAAGAAAGGAACTTGGCAGGAGAGAAACCTCGGAAATTCCGCCTGTTGTTGGACATATATAAGCAGCTTCAAGCCTCCTGCTTCAGGGTCTATCATGGATCCATCTCATGAAGAATTTAACATAATCAATGACTCTGCCATACTAAATGCTAAAAAATATATGAGACGTGCTAAAGTCATCCAGAAATGATTATATGGATTGCTATGGATTATGTGGTATTTAACTTTAAAACATTGGAAAACATTATGTGAACTTGGTTAACCTTGAACGTTTTTATTATGACATTTTACTACCAGATAATTTAGTTTATCCTTCCGTACAATTTTCTTTTTTCATTTTCTGGTTCTATATTTTGCACAAGGATAAAATGGAGAGTTAATTTTGGTCGTGTTCTCTGTAATATTTGAAGCCATGGCTAGTGATTAACTCACCCTAAAAAAACAAGTGGCCAATAGCAATATGCATTGTTTAGGTTGCTAGAAATAGACACTACAAGAAAAGGAACCTAATAGGAAGACAAATCTTTTTAATTAACTCCAGTCTAGTACACTACTAGAAAAAGGGTCAAGTATCCGACAACCAATTCTGTCGAAATGCCTACTACGAACAAAACTTTGATAGAAAAACCGTGTCGAAGTAAGGCATGGGTAACGATTTGTGATGGACCCTGTAACACTTGAATTTGGTATGTTTTGCATTTAGCCCCTTTTTTATCAAACTTCGCATTTTAGTCCATAAGCTAGTAAGCGGGGCGTACAGGGTGGTACGCTTAGCGTACTAGCTTGAAGTTGATCCTGCTTAGCCAGCCTCCACCATCCTTTGTCCAAAAATTGAAACCCTAGTGTGTGTTTGCGAGTTTTGAGCCTTAAAGAGTGTTTGTTGGTGATTTCTGAAGGAGAAGAAGAAGAGGACCATTTGGAGAAGTGTCTTGACTCACTCCAGAAGTTATGGTGTTAGATCTAGGCTTCTTTTGGTCTCCTTATTCATAAAAATGCAAGATTTATGATGAATCATGGACCACGCATGTGTTAAGACCTTGGTGAATTACTTTTTGAACACTTGAGCCCCATTAAGACATGCATGTATGTAAAGTTTCCAACTTTACGTGAAAAGTCACCCTAAGGAATTAGATCTAAGAGTTTCGATTGAAGTCTCAATGGATTAAGTCTTTAATGAAGTGGGGTGGTCAACAGGGGCGTACGTTGGGCGTACCAAGCTGGTACGCTGCGCATTCTAGCCCTAGAGGGAGTATGCTAAGCGTACGAGCTGAGTACGTCCAGCGTACTCAGTAGGAGGGATTTACATTTTGGGCTTCTCGGTTTTAGGCCCATATTTGGACATTAGGAGATTAGGGCCTGGTAGGGCCATCAAATTTCTATTTTGGGTTGATGTCATTATGTTGGATTCTTTTAGTCGAAGGCCCACGAAGGGGTTAGGGCCCAATTTGGAAGATTGGTCCATATTTGGGCTTTAGGTGACCATTTTTGGAATTGAGCCCTTTTGAGTAGTTGTTTTGGGCTTATCCCTTGGGCTAATTTAGGTAAAGGGTAAAATGGTAGTTTCTCCTAGTTTAGACTCTTAGTTTTAATCGAGATCCAATTATTAATTGGATATTATTTTATAATGATAGCACTGGGATTGTCAACAGCCAAATATTTATCTATGAGATTCAACACTCTAAGGCGAGTTTCCTCACCGTGTTTAGCGGGTTGAAGGCACCAATGAACACATTACATACGATCCACATTTCATACAAAGAAATATACATTATACACACACATACATACAAATACACATATACACACATATACATGCACTATACACACATACAATACTCCACATTCATGTGCTTATAAATACAAATGCACATTCTGTATACCTCCACATACATATGCAATTACACAAATATATACCAAATATGCACACATATTGCTTATTTCACATAATAGACACAAATACGTAAAATTTTCAAATAATCTAAAAATTAAGGGAGAAAGGAATCTATGGTGGCCGGAAAATCAACAAGGTGGTGCAGTGGTGGCGGTAATCGATCCAGTGACAACAACAACTAACAAAAACTGAAATCAATACTTTTTTGTAATTAACTCAACTATAAGATGGAAATCGACATTACAAGAGAAAGAGAAAGAAAAATTAGGAAGGAATTGCATCTTAGTCACTAAAATTGAACCTTAGTCACCAGAGAAGATATGTCGTCAGTGATGGAAAGGCGTCACCCGTAAACGGAGATGGAGCCGGTGGAAATCCAAAGTCGAACCGATGATGGATAGACGTCGCAGATCATTGGAATCAGAAGAGGGAAGATGGAATCGATCTAGAGAGAATAGAAGCACATAATGGATGAAAGAAAGCTGCAAAAGAATATATTTGCGATGACTTTTACCGGCGACACCTATTACCGGTGACTATTGGCAATTAACGGCAACACCTTGGAGATAACTTTTTCTCGGTCCTTATTTTCGAGAATTAGGGGCAAAAAGTGTTACTGTTATTAATGTTGCTGGAACTGATAATTAATAACATGTGTTTTTAGTCGTTACGAGATCAAAAGTCAAACGGGTCATTACCAAATACATTTGGTGGCGACACTAGTAGCGACAACAACCACTATTACAAGCGACATAAAGTCATGTTGCTGGTAGTAGTGGTTGTCGCCGCTATTAACCATTTTTCTTGTAGTGAACTGATTGTGGTTGTAATACATGTACATTACCATGCTGATAAATGTCTACACTAGCTCTTAGTGTTTTTCTAACTACAATATAAAGCTTTCCTCTTTTATCATTTCTTCACAGATAAAAATTTTAAGCAAAATCTTTGTCAATAGATCAAGGTCTTATATGGGATTTGAATTTCTTCTGGTTTATTACAAAATCCTTTAGCAACTTCACTTGAAATTAAATATTCCAGGTGATTTTAATGCAAATATTCTATTTGGGCATAATTTTGGTATACAGAAGAAGATTTACTTTTGTTTCAACTTCAACTTGATCTTAAATAGCTAGATTTTTTTATGCATAAAGATATTTATATAAAAGCTTCCTCCAGGGTTTTTTTGATGAACATATACATTCAATACCCATCTAGGCATTCAATTGATTTAGGTACCGAGATGGATATATTTATTACCCAATTCATCGTTATCTTTGTCTTTTGATTAGGCAAGTCCATCTATGCTGTTGCCGTATGCTCCTTCTTGTGCTTGTACTTTTACAAATGAGTATTTTAATTGTATTTAACAGCAAGATAGTTTCTTTCGCATTGATATACATCTGTTCTTTATATGATTTTATGTAGAAAGTGGCAATTATGTACCGGTTTAAAGTTAGAAAGTAGTAGATCTCTTGAATAAATTTCCTTTAAATTGACTAGTTCTATTAATTCATTTGGAAAAACTTAATTGATGTTAAAATGAATATATCATTCATATGTAGATCCCTTGTACAATATAAAATATCCTAAGGCGATATCATTTAGCTTCATTGTTACGCGAGCGGCTTTGCGGCCCAATTTAGCCTTCGAAACGAGTCTATCTTTTCTTGTAGTGTGTCATTGACCTCCGAAATATAAGACATACCTCCCGCAGAAATATAAGACGTAGCTACCGCAAGAACTCTTAACATTTAGCCCTCTGTGCTTAATTTTTAAGGTAGGTTTCCAACATTTCAATTAGATTTGAAGGCATCGATCTTCTCCTCATATGTGCCGCGATGCATATGAGAGACAATGATGTATCTTGACTGCCTTTTATCTTTTATGTGTTTTAAATAAGGCATAGTTTTGCTAAAGAAAAATTAGGGTTTGGTTTTGCTATAAAAAATTGGGATTTTTGGTTGAAAAAACGCGAACGTGATAATGTATCTCATTATCAACTCTTTCATGTTGTGTTCTTGAATTAGGGTTTATACATTAGATCGGCTTCGCCACATATTCCGTATCGTGTTTTTGTTCATCAATTGAACACAATGATTTAAATTAGCTATTTAATTGTCTAGAATAAATCAGCAAAGTTGATCCAGAAGAGGATGTGGATCTAGCAATTTCCTTGTAGAATATATAGTGAATTTAAGTAATCAAAGATCCTCCTTTGTATTAATTGCTTAAGTATTACGCTATCATACCTCTATGTATGATAATTGTAAAATTCTACAATCACTAGTGTCTCCTTTTACATAACGTGCGACACATGATCTATCTAAGTATTTGAATGATATTTGAATATGACTGTAATTATATTGGGAGTTATATGTGCCTATTTTGTGTTTGATAAGGGGTTTTCCTGTTTTTAGTAGACATTCTGTCAATTTTAAGCCTTGATTTTCATAGGTGTTGATTATCATCATCAGTCTACAGTTGCTTTAAGTGGAGATGAATTCGAGTGGAGATACTAGTACTGAACCAAAGGAATTTGAAAATTTTTGTATTCGGTATGTGTGAGTTTTTAATTAGTATATCTATTAAGCTTGATTCCAAACAGTGTTTTGTAATTAACTTGTTCCATTTGGTTTGTACTGATCATATATCTTAATTTATTTTCAAATTGCTACCTTGGACACATATATGAAGTAATTGTATGCCGCCCTAAAAACATTCATTCAAGAATTGTAAAATGGTGCATGGTTAGTTCTCATCTCATCAACACTGGCAATAGTATATAGCTTCTCCTGAGCCATGTTGATGAAATGCCACGCGCGAGGTACCTAAGATGCATGAGGCTACTAAAGGCAAATGCCCAATGTCCATTGTTTAATAAAATACCGCGAAGAGCATCCACAATGCATAGTTTAATAACCGGTTGATTGGAATGTGTAGCTGAAAAGCAATAGATTAACCTCAACCATAGTAGAATGTCACTTTCTTATTCAATGGATATGTAGTTCAATGGCCATTGAAGTGTTCAATGATAAAATGACATTTTTTTAATATAAAAATTCTTACCAATTAAAAGTTTTTTAAAAATAGAAATATATTTCATTAAACTTATGAAGTGTTCAATATATTGTAAGAAAAAATAGTAAAGTTGTTTGAAATGTGAAATGATGATGTCACAATAAATTAAAACTATGTGAAGTTCAGTTGATTGTCAACC